ACTTTAACGGCGTGTGTGTTGTTAAATGATATGCCGTTGTTTTTTTTAATTATATATCGTTATTCACTTTACCGTCGCGTGTGTTGTTATCGTTATTCACTTTAACGGCGTGTGTGTTGTTAAATGATATGCCGTTGCTTTTTAAAAATTATATATCGTGATTCACTTTACCGTCGCGTATGTAAATAGTCAATGTTGTTGTTGTTGTTAAATTATAAAGGGTAAAAGAACATTAGAAGAGTTTGGTGACGATGACATCTCTGACGAGTTGGTGACGATGATCGGAAAACTCTACGATGATTTCGATGCGCCAGACAGTGTGTTGGACGAAGAGTTGATTGAACTGGGGGAGCAAATGGATAGCGAGTCCACACCGTTATTTGAGTTCGACTTTCAACCAGTGGGTCAGCCTAAGAAAGCTCTCAAATCTGTGAATAAACAGCGCGGTGTAGCCCAGAAGGAAACAGCTGCGCCCCGCCACAAAAAAGGACGACATTGCGAAAGAGATTACACGCGGCGTGGCTGACATGGCGCGTCGCGTGATCGAGAAGTCTCAATCGCCCCAAGGAAAAGAACTAAAGGACAACGACAGGGTCATGTTTAATTTCTCTACCAAGAAGTCTAGCCACCCTCTGCAATCAGCGAAGTTTACTGTGGCCGAAATCTACAACGACACCACGCGATTTGAGGGCTATATGCAGACGTTGGCTAACCAGCTTAATTCCAATGAAAGTTTCAACGTCGACGACGAATTTCAAGTCGACATGACAATCATTTCCGAACCCGACGCCGGCAGTAGAACAGCCCTCTCCATCCTGGGGAAATTAAACATGACCACCGTCCTCCGTCGAAAACGTTGTGTCCTCCCCATCGAGAATTCAGAGGACAACTTTTGCCTGGCCAAAGCCATTTGCCTGACAAAAGCTCATCTTCACAAAGACGAGGACAAGGACGGCTACAATAAATTCCACAATCTTAAAAATAACCCATCGGTTCTAACCCGATGTGCCAAATTCCTGCATCGCGAAGCTCGTGTTCCCGAAGGTGCCTGTGGTCGTGAGGAATTGCAGAAATTTCAAGAATATCTGGCCCCCGATTACAGGTTAAAAGTTATGAGCGTCCGGTACCCCTATTCCATCACCTTCGAGGGAAAAGTCACAGCTCCCAAAGTCATACGTGCTCTATTCCAATCAGACCCAGAGGGAAGGATCGGTCATTACCACGGTTGTAACTCGTATTCTGGTTTCCTCGAGAGGAGCTATTTTTGCGACGAATGCAACCGTGGTTTTGACCATGACGAATTCAGCCACCAGGCCTGCCAAGGCCGAAGATGTTCAGCCTGCAAGACCATCGAGTGTGGCCCTAAACAGCATTATCCTACACTACACTGCACCCACTGTAACCGTCATTTCTATGACAATTCCTGCATGTCACTCCACCGTGACAAGGGTTTGTGTGCGTCCTGGATTCGCTGTGGAATCTGTTGTAAAAAATTCAAGCCAAGCAAGAAAGAACCACATCGCTGCGACTGGAGTGAATGCAGGAATTGTAAAGAAGACGTCGACCTCAGCACACACCAATGTTATATACAACCAGTCAACCCAAATGAGGATAAACCAAAGAAAAAATCAAAAAGTATTCTAAAACGACAAAGAAAAAATAATCCAGATGTCTCGGAATACTGCGAGCCACCAATAAAAGTGTGGGCTGATTTTGAAGCTATGCTGGACGAAGACAGCACTCATATCCCCATCCTCATCGTGGCCGAGACTTCGGAGAGTAACGAAGTGTTCGAGTTTTATTGTCCGGAATGTACCGGTGACTTTCCCGCCTTCCTCGATGAATTGGCGTACGGCCCACCAGAAGAAAACAGACATTGGGATGACTAACGGGAAGTCATCGGTATATTCCATAATTTAAAGGGGTATCATGCTGTCTTCCTGCAAGAGCAGATGGTTAAAGAAAATCGTCGCTTCGAGTTCCTCATCCCCAATGGAACCAAGAACCTTTGCATGAAAGTGGGAAAGATCGTTTTCAAAGACAGCATGTGTTTCTTACCTATGGCTTTGGCTTCGTTCTCTAGCACGTTTGGCATCACAGAGTTAAAATAAGGATTCTTCCCACACAAGTTACACACCCCTGACCACCAAAACTACATTGGTCCACTCCCAGCCGCTGAATATTACGACCCCGAGGGGATGTCCGAAAAAAAGAAAAAAGAGTTCGAGGCGTGGTACGCTGAGGAGAGCAGTAAGAACCTCCCCTTCGATCTCAAAAAAGAGTTAATAGCTTACTGCCGCTCGGACGTGGCGTTGCTTAAAGCTGGTTGTGTTAAATTCATTGGTGAATTTAAGGCCATTGCCAAATTCGATCCGATGGAAAAATGCGTGACGATCGCTCAAGCCTGTAACAGGTAATCATGCGTTGATTTTTTTCAAAAACAATCATAAATGTTATTTTAAAAAATATTCTTGTTTTTGGGTACTGGCGAAAATGCGTTATGGCTCCTGATTGTAATGCCATTGAGCCCGAGAACGGTTGGGAAGGTGCCACACCCAATCATTCGCACGTGGCCTTGGAATGGTTGACGTGGACGGAGAGGAGTCTGGGGACTAGGATCCAGTATGCGCGCCAGGGAGGAGAGTACAGCATTCCCCATGGATCTCGCGTGTACACTGTGGATGGATACGATGCACAATCGCGTACCGCCTACGAGTTCCATGGGTGTTTGTTCCACGGTTGCCGCGACTGGTATCCCCAACGGAACCAGATTGCCTTTGCGTCCGCCGGTCTTAATGTGGAAGCACTTCGACGCCAAACAGTTCAGAAAACTGCCACATTGCAACGATTGGGATATGCCGTCGTTGAAATGTGGCAGTGCCAATGGGAAAAACAAAAGAAATCCGACCCAGATCTCCGCCACTTCATCCAGTCCGTTACCTTTACCACACCCCTTCAACCGCGTGAAGCTTTCTTTGGTGGAAGAACTGGGGCGACCACGCTCTACCATGGAATCGACCCCACCCAAGGAGAGCAGATCCGGTACGTGGATGTGACCTCCGAGTACCCCTGGGTCAACAAATACGGAGAGTACCCTATTGGTCACCCCAATATCTACCTGGAACCTGCCAATCAAGACCCTCATGCCTACTTTGGCCTTGTTAAAGTTTCCGTTCTCCTGCCTACTCATCTGTGTAACCCCGTCCTCCCCCACTGCCAGAAAATTGGATCCGCCACCAAACTTACCTTTCGTCTGTGCCGTTCCTGTGTCCAGGAAGAATCACAGAAGCCGATGGGAGAAAGAAATTATATATGCTGCCACACGGATGAGGAACGTATGCTGACGGGAACGTGTTGTACGCCGGAAATCCTAAAAGCCATAGAGATGGGGTGCCATCTCTATGGCACCCCATCTTCGAAAAAAGACAGCGTGGACTCTTTGCTCCTTACGACGACACTTGGTTAAAAATTAAACAAGAAAGTAGCGGTTACCCCGCCTGGTGCCAGACGGAGGAGCAAAAAGCCCACTGCGTCCAACAATACAAGCAGAGAGAAGGTATTGACCTCAATCCTACCATGATCATCAAAAACCCTGGAAGAAAAGCTACAGCCAAACTGATGTTGAACTCCTTCTGGGGAAAGTTTGGTCAAAATTGTAATAAGTCCAAGGTCCATCAGATTTCCCACCCAGCAGCACTACCAGATCTCCTCGACGACCCCTTACAGCAGGTTCAAGAGGTTCGTATCCTTTCTCCCGAGTTGGTGGAAGTGGTAGCAAAGCGAGACGATTAAGACCCAGAGAAAGGCCGTGCTACCAACGTTTTCATCGCCGCCTTTACTACCTGCCTGGCCCGTTTAAAGCTATACGAGTCCTTATAAAGTTTACAAGATCGAGTATTAAACTATGGCACCGATTCGGTAGTATACAAGTGGAAACCGGGTGAGTCTGAAATCGCCTTGGGGGATTATTTGGGTGACATGACGAATGAGCTGGATGATGGCGACTACATTGTCGAGTTCATTTCGGCTGGAGCTAAAAATTATGGATATGTTACGGTTCAAGGAAAGTCATGCGTAAAAGTCAAAGGTTTCTCCCTAAATGTACGTGGGATGGCACAACTCAATTATCAGATCATGAAACAGAACATTCTGGACGAAATTCAACATCCATTGGATGAAGCCAGAAAGACGGAAGTTATCAATCCCGTACATTTTGTACGGGACCCGGTTAAAAAGAAAATAAGAAGGGAAGCACAAATGAAGTCCTGTAGGTTAGTTTTCGACAAGAGGGTCATGGAAAATGGAACGTTTACATCTTTTCCCTATGGATACGCCAGACTCGATGAACAAGATATAGAATTAGTCAACTTTTTAGCATTATAATCATTAGTTTTTTATTTTTAATTCCAATAAACAAGACATTGTTATTTAACAGTGTTTTTTCAATTCACAGGACTGTGTATTTTACATTTCCCTTTATATCACCCTTCTAAAGTGTAAAGTCACGATGCTTGCTCCGTCTTTAGTAAATTGCGCTAAATTATTATTTTCCGATTCGCTGAGTTGCGTTTCCACTTCGTCGATGTGTTGATTTCGCAAAGCGATGTAATGAATGTGTTTCGTTTGGTAATAATAACTCCCTTTCAATAGAGGGCGATACTGAAACGTGCGCAACAGGTCTGATCACCCATGATCACTGGGGCACACAAGGAGGAGTAGAGATAAAGCGTGCGAGGGGCCATACCATTTTTATAAGTGCTTTCTTTACGATTTGTGAACGTGTGAGTAAACTCGTCGAGAAAAAAAATTATAGACTCGGCTGCTACATCATCGGACCCTTTGAAACTGTAATCAAGTAACCCGTATCTATAATAACAATGCGAGGAATCTCTACGATCTTCCACAAATTGGGTACCGCGTTTCCTCATCACGAGATTAGGTCCGCTTTTGAATGTGTCGGCACTCTTGTATTGAGCGGACTTCGTCCAACCAAAAAGTTCACACATGTCTTTCCTTAGGGCAAAATGGCAGTGCAATTTAAAATCCGTCCGAGAGGAAAATACACTGTCGTCCACCTTTTCTGATATCACTGTGATCGTTCCTTCCTCCTCGTTGAAAATCGTATCAAATTGAAGTTGTTCTTTCCCTGGTTTATGTACTAAAGAATGATCCTGCGTGAGTTGATCTAAAAATAACTCGTATTCTCTGTCGAATAGGATTTTGAGAAAGTCGTATGCCGTCGTCATGGGGGTATCCTTGATATCACCATAAGATACAACTACACACGTATCTTTACAACCTGAGTTGATGTACAGTTCGCGATACGATTTCATCATAATGAAGCCGTCTGTGAGTCCTTTGAGATAAGGTATCAAGAGCGATTCGGACGGTAAGGAAATGCTAGACATCCCCACTTCCCAGACTCCCTCCAAAATCCAAACGTTTACTGAGTCTATTTTTCCAAGACTTGTTTGTGTTTCCGGAAAAGTATTTGACACTTCCATCGTTACTCGTTAACGTCAAGTAAAAGTTACTCATGTCGTAGCGTGCAGGTAAAAATGAATGATGTGTCGGGGGTGAAGTGTCTTTATCTATTTCCTTTTAAAATGTAGCGTCAATATGCTGGGGCCGTTTTCGGGTAACTCGGCCAGAGTGTTTTTCGTCGTTTCACCCACTTGCGTTTCGATGACGTCGAAATTATTATTTCGTAAGGGGATGTAATGAATGGGTTTCGGCTCGAAACAAGCCGTTCCTTGCATTCTTTCCTGGTAAGGAATCTGACGTAATAAATCGGTGGATTGATCACCCATGATGACTGGGGCACACAGGGAGGAATACACGTAAAGATTGCGTGAACTGGATGCCGTTGTAGGTGTATCGTGGGGGTTGTATTTAAAAGTCCAGATGATATCGCTGAGTAAAAAGCGATGCGTGTTCCTTGTCGAATTATTTTTCCAGGGAATGTCATACCAAAAATACAAACTATCGAGGGTAGTAAGCGGTCTATCGTAACTCCATCCTGTACCGCGTTTCGTCATAGAGAGATTAGCCCCAGGGCGTGACACATTATAATTATCTTCCTTCACTCCACGAAAATCGGTGAATTGGATATGTGAATTTTCCGTCCACCCACCCCACTTGCAGAGTTGTCGGGGTAACTCGAAGTATACGTGATTACGAATGCGTGCATCTCTTACATGGGTCGAATCTGTGCGCTCACAGGATACTGTGACGGTCCCTTTTTCTCGATCGCAATGCACGTCGAATTGAAATGTTTTGTCACATGATAAATGACTACTCCACGTGTCATCCAGACTGAATATAAATTTCAGTCGTTCTTCCTGAAAGACTGCTTCTAAGAGATCGCAGGGGGTATGTAATGTATACCTTTTGATATCTTCATAGGTGACAGAAAACGTGACTGTTTTAAAGGCCTTTTGCGAGTTTATTAGTAAGCGATTGGTAGTGAGAAGCACATCATCGTCTGACAATCCTTTCAAATAGGGCTCCCAACGGTTCTTGAGCGCGAGACTGTAAGGTAAGGATATACTCGATAATCCTACTACCCAATCTCCCTGTAAATCGATGCGTGAATTCAGTTGATTTTTCCAAGACTTGTTGGTGTTTCCGGGAAAATATTTAACGCTTCCATCGTTACTCAGTAACGTCAAGTAAAAGTCACTCATGTTGTAGCTATTTTAAAATGAATTGTGTTTCAGACGTACGTCGCTGTTTTATTCTTTTTTTCTTTCTAAAATGAAGCGTGACGATAGAAGTACCATCGTCGAACTGTGTCAGTGAGTTTGTATCCGTTTCACTTATTTGTATTTCACTCACGTCGACCATGGAATTCCGTAATGGTATGTAATGAATCTTTGGTGGTGCGTAAAAAAAGCTTCCATGTAATTGAGGATGATAAGGGACTTGTAGTAACAAATCGGTTCTTTGTGAACCTATAGTGACTGGGTCTCCTATAGAGGAATACACATAAAAGGTTCTGGATGCCGATGTCCCTCGTTTATAAGCAAACTGCTTCGTGTTTATAAATGTCCACACGAGCTCGTGAAGATAAAATTTAACCATCTCTCCATTTTCCTCCATACTCCAATATCTTTTCGCTATGGTTCTGGGTTCAAACCATATGTTACCGCGTTTTCTAAACGCTAGATTCTGAGCATTTTTAACAGAGATGACATTAAACCACGCTTTTGGTTGTACCCATCCCAATAAAATGCATAAATCTTTACGAAGCTCAAAGTACACGTTATCACGAACATCGTTGTTCGAAAGAGTATCCGGAATGATCTTCTCTGGGGATACCGTACAGGTTTCCAACACATCGTCAAAAGAGAAATCGAATTGAAGGTTGGGAAATTTTCCCGTAGGCATTTCATTAGCCCACACCCCAGATTCTTCCAAGTCTAAAATAAACTTTTCACGTTCCACTTCGAATAAGGCTTTAAGAAGATCGTGTGGTGTGTCCAGGGGTTTGTCGTTGATATCGCTATAATGCACGTAATTGGTGGTGACATCAAGCTGTTGCGTGACAACCACGTACACTCGCCGTTTGGTGGTGAGTAGTCTAGTTTTTTCTGGGATGTTATGAAGGTATTTTTTCAATCGAGATTCATGCGGGAGTGAAATACTCGACATACCCACTTCCCAATCTTTATCTAATGCGATGAGGGACGAAAGCCGATTTTTCCAAGAATTGGGAGTATTTTCTGGGAAATACTTGATACTGTCATCGTTACTCGGAAGGGTTAAATAAAAGGATTCCATCATCGTCACTCCAATAAAGACACACACAAATGATACCTTTTCCACACACTTTATTTCTTTTTATTACAATCCAGCTTTTACTTTAGCTTGCACGATGCGTTTCACAATGCGTTCGGTCATCATGTTTTTACCAAATCGTTGAATACCGGTAATCATTTTACGATCGGCCTTGTGTTTATCGGCTAGATTTTTAGCTTTACTATAATCTATATCGTGCTGTTTAGCTAACTTATCAAGACGATTAATACCCGGATCCCCGCGTTTAAGACGCATGGCTAATTTCGTACCCGGCCCCATGTACTGATAGCCGGGCCAATGAAATTCTACACCCAGTTTATTAATCCATTTTTGAAGATCGATTTTTCCTCCAGATTGCCTTCTTTTACTTTTTGCCCTTCCCTTTCCCTTTGCCTTTGCCTTTCGGCGCATTTTATTCGGCATTTTGTACGGCTTTTACTGGTTCCTAAGCTCTCTTTTCCCACAGGTCTCACACCTGTTCGATCCTACTCTCTTTTTTAACGGTTTTATGAGCGCTATGCCCCGCTGACTTAGATGCTCCTAGAGGGAGTTGAAGGTAACAATCGTTTCCCTGTAAGAATGGGTGTCGAAGGTAAATCTTTAAGACTCATAAACCCATAGGGAAACCTGATGGGTTTTTTCTTGGCACTGCTACCAGGTGTAGAA